CCCGTGCTAAATGGCCTCTCTCAGCCCGTTGTCTTGGCAACTCAGCATCCTCACCAAGCTCCCGGCCGGGCTGCACCACGCCGCTCCCCGGGCAGCTGCAGGGCAGGGGTGCGCAGGACCCTGCTCCCCAGAGCCCCCGTGTGCACGCGTGCTCTGTGCCAAGGTTGTGTGCTGGTGGTTTTGGGGGGATCACCCCCAAAAATGCTGGTTTCTGCCTTGTAGGTGCCTGTGTGCAGCGGGTTTTGAGGGCCCGAGCTGCCACGCCATCAGTGACCCCTGCAAGGAGCACAGCTGTGAGAACGGGGGCTCCTGCGTGCCCGGGGCCACCAACTACACCTGCCTGTGCCCTGCCCACTACACAGGTAACTGGTGTGGGAGCCGGCTGGCCCCACGGCCTCACCATCCCATCAGCGGGACGTGCCCGGTGTTTTTCTGGGGTCTGAGGCTGTCCCCCGAGGCCTGGAGCCATGTGGGGACCCGTCTGGGTACCCCCCTGCACCCCTGTTCTGCCCCACAGGGGATTTCTGCGAGCAGCCACCAGATTTCTGCTCGGCCGAACTCAGCCCCTGCCAGCACGGCTCCACGTGCATCTCCACCAGCCAGGGGCCCAGGTGAGCCCTGGCCCGCATCGGGGTTTATTTTGGGGGGGTTGCAGCTTGCAGGGTGGTGGGGGGCACCGGGGAGGGATGCTAGGGAGTCTCAGCAGGGTTGGGGCTGCCCCAGGTGCGAGTGTGTGCCCGGCTACGTGGGGAGCAACTGCAGCGAGGACTTCGATGACTGCCAGGACCACCGGTGCCAGAACAACGCCCGCTGCGTGGACGAGGTGAACGGCTACTCCTGCCTCTGCACCGAGGGCTACAGGTAACTGCTGGGGGGGTAACAGGGGGTGTCACCGCGCAGGAGGGACCAGCCCTGGCCACCACAGCCAGCCAGCCCTGTCCCCAGTGGTGTGGTCCCAGCAGGGACCCAGGGCAGGGCTTGGCACCTTCACGTCCCCCTGGTGCTGCTGGCAGGGCGGGTGGGGACCCCGAGGTGGTAGCCAGCACCCCGTAGGGTGGGGGGTGCCGGGGAGGGAGCTTTCCCAGCCCCGTGCCCAGCACGCCCTCGGCCCCGCAGCGGGCAGCTGTGCGAGATGCCGCCCCGTGCCGCCGGCCAGCCCGGCCCCTGCGAGCGAGCCGAGTGCCAGAACGGGGCCGCCTGCGTGGAGCGGGGCGCCCGCGCCCTCTGCCAGTGCCTGCCCGGCTTCGGCGGCCCCAAGTGCGAGAAGCTGCTGAGCGTCAACTTCGTGGACCGCGACACGTACCTGCAGTTCACCGACCTGCAGGACTGGCCCCGGGCCAACATCACCCTGCAGGTGAGGGCACGGGGCCTGCGCAGGGTGTTGGGGGGAAGCTACGGGGCGCGGGGTCCCACCTCTCCCACCCCCAGGTCTCCACGGCTGAGGGCAACGGCATCCTGCTGTACAACGGTGACAGCGACCACATGGCCGTGGAGCTGTACCAGGGCCACGTCAGGGTCAGCTACGACCCTGGCACCCACCCCAGCTCGGCCATATACAGGTACCGGCCCCTGATCCCCACAGCCCTGACCCCGTTGCGCGGGCACGGTGCCACGCCGTGGGGGGACAGGGGTGACACAGCCCTCCTGCCAGCGCCGAGACCATCAACGACGGGCAGTTCCACACCGTGGAGCTGGTGACCTTCGACCAGATGGTGAACCTCTCCATCGACGGCGGCAGCCCCATGACCATGGACAACTCGGGCAAGCACTACACGCTGAACAGCGAGGCCCCACTCTACGTGGGAGGTACGGGGTCGGTGGGGCGGTGCGGGTGGCAGGGGGTGGCCAGGGCACATGGTGACAGCCCCAGCTCTCCCCAGGGATGCCCGTGGACGTCAACTCGGCCGCCTTCCGCCTCTGGCAGCTCCTCAACGGCACCAGCTTCCACGGCTGCATCCGCAACCTCTACATCAACAACGAGCTGCAGGACTTCACCAAGACGCGGATGACGCCCGGTGTGGTGCCAGGCTGCGAGCCCTGCCGCAAGCTCTACTGCCTGCACGGCATCTGCCAGCCCTCCGGTGTGCACGGCCCCGTCTGCCACTGCGAGCCCGGCTGGGACGGGCCCCACTGCGACCAGCCCCGTGGTGGCCCCTGCCAGGGGCACAAGTGAGTGCCCCCACCCTGCCGGCTGCCCCACGGCACCCATTCTGCCCCACCGCAAGTGGCCCAGCCCTTTGGCCATGCCATGTCACACCTGTGATGTGCCATACCCGTGCCGGTGCCACCATGCCGTGCGTCTCAGTGCCACGCAGCAGGCACCTGATGGCTATGGGTACCCACAGGTGTGTGCACGGGCTGTGCCTGCCCCTCGACGCCCTCTCCTACAGCTGCCAGTGCCACCAGGGCTACCAGGGCGCCCTGTGCAACCAGCCCGCCGCGCCGCCCGACCCCTGCCGCCTCCTGCCCTGCCGCCACGGCCGCTGCCGCCTCGCCCCGGGGGGGCAACCCACCTGCGAGTGCCACAGCGGCTACACCGGGACCCTGTGCGACCAAGGTAGGTGGTGGGGCAGCAGATTCCAGGCTGGTGGTGCCGGGGGGACCGTGCGCCCCGCTGAGTCCCGCTGTCCTGCAGAGCTGGAGTGCCGGGGGGAGCCGGTGCGGGACTACCACCAGGTGCAGCGGGGCTACGCCATCTGCCAGACCACGCGGCCGGTGGCCTGGGTGCAGTGCCGGGGTGCCTGCGGCGGTGACACCGGTGCCGGCTGCTGCACCTGGGCTGCGGCCGCGGCGCCGAAAATACGCCTTCGAGTGCAGCAACTGGCGCGACCTTCGTGGAGGAGGTGGAGAAGCCCAGCAAGTGCGGCTGCAGCCAGTGCCTGTGAGCGCCGGGGCTGCTGCAGGACACCGGGGGGGCCGGCGGGGAGCCCCCGGCGCCAGGACCTTGCTTTGCCCCGCGGCCACGGGCCAGGACGTTTCCGCAGCCCCGTCCATGTTTCTTGGAGGAGCCTGGCCAGCCTGGCGGGCCCGGAGGAGGGTAGATGTGTTGCATCTAGAGGGTTGGAAAAAAAAGAAAAAAGAAAAAAAAAAAAAAAACACAAACAAAACAAATGTGTAGATAGAGAATTTTTTAAGAACTGCAGCTACACAAGTGGGAGCTTGTGCCCGGCTGCTCTGCCCCTGTGCCTGATCTCCCCTTGTCGCTGCCTTTTCCCCTGTGGAGAGGAGCACGTGTCCCCTCTGCGTGTCCCCCCCGAGCAGCCCAGACCCTTGTGTCCAGCTGGGGGCTTTCCAACACTTTGTGCTGGACCTGGTGCTGCAGAGCCTCGTGTGCCACCTCAAGCCAGGGCTGGCAGGGGGCCCGTGCACCACAGCCAGCACCGCTGGGTCCCAGCAGCCCTCCATGGCACCAGGGCTGGGGTGCTGGAGCCCAGGGTGCTCCAAATGACCCCAACTCCACAGTAGCAGCCCCCAGGGACAGGCAGACGCCCTGCGGTGCCCAGGGGTGGGTAGCTCAGTAGCGCTGGGGACACAAGCAGGATGGACCCAGGAGCACTGAGCAGGGGCACGGGCAGCAGGGTGCAGACACCCATGGGGGTCCTGGCCCCGCTGTGCAGTGCCTGGTGCGCACTGACACCCTGCCCCATGCACACTGGGGGGGCACAGGGCACCGGGACCCTGTGTGTAGGGGGAGGCAGTGCTGCCCCTACCCCACGTCCCCAGCCCTACCTGCTGGGGCAGGCTGTGAGCCAGGCCAGCACTGTGCCCTTAGTGCCGGGGGGACCTTTGGTGGACGTCCCTTCGGAGGCTGCTGGCACGCAGGTTTGCGATGCCGTTTGCCAGGGCTCGAGTCTTATGGATGCTGAAGGTGCCTGAGGCCGTGGTAAGCCTGGAGGTGCCCCAGCTGCTGGCACAGGTCCCACCAGGACTCAGGTGGGAGCTGCTGGCAGCAGCTCTGTGAAGCCAGTGGTGCCGGAGGACGTGCTGGGTTGGCACGGCACCAGGGGCACCGCGCACACCCCAACCTCTGCAGCAGGCTTGCTTCTACGGCCGCGGGGGGCCAAGGATGATGCGAGCCCGACCTGGGACCCCACACACCTCCACGGCAGGACATCACCGCGTCACCCAGGAGGACCAACCCCTCCCAGGGCTGCAGCCCCAATTCTCTCCACTGCATCACACCAGCGCGTTGGCCTCGGATCCGCACGGGGTGCAGCCAGCTGATGGGTGCCGTCGCCGTCCCCGCTCACCGCTGGCCTCCAGGACAAGCCCTGCGGGGACGGCACTGCCACCAGCACCCCTCTGCTGCACGGCGGAGCCGGGACGCCTCTCATTTTGCCCGTGGCCCGGCCGGGGCTTGGTTGTGTTGTGTTTTTGTTCTTGCTGTAAGCTAACCGCTAAAGTATCTCTTTATACAGAATACTTACAGATTCTAATATATATTTGTATTTCATTTTGTTATAGTATTTTTATATGTTCGGGGTCAACAAATGCCGTTTTCTTTTTGTTTACAGATGCTACTGGGCAGGAAAATGACGGTGGCTTTGTTTGGCCCGTGGGGTTTGTGTGTGTCACTGTTGAAGACGCTGGTTTGTACTAGGCTGGGGAGGGCGGCGCTGAGCATCCTTTCGCTGGCAGAGGCTGTATTGTTTTAGGAGATGTTCGGTATTGTCTATGTTGTCTTCCACGTGAACATGACATTGATTCATTCAGAGCCCCGGCCTCATCTTTCGGGGGGGGCACCACGGGCCGGGCACGCGAGGCGGTGGCACGGCGTGGGGACAGTACGGGCACAATGGGGCCCTGCAGCTCCTGGAGCAGCCCTGGTCCCGGTTTGGGGGCTGTCCCCCTTCTCTGGGGACAGCCGGGGTTATTTGTACAAACACCCAGCCCCGCAGCACACGGCCGTGCCACCAGGCAGGCGCCAGGGGCTCACACGGCTCGGGGCGAGCCGGAGCACGCCACCCCGCTCCTTCGCCCAGTTATCACAGCAAAGCGACTTTGATATCAAAGAAACGTTTAATAAGCTGCAATAAAATACGGACCTTTAGAAAGCTCATAGGGTGAATATCAACAATGGAGGAATAAAAGAAAACAAGGTGGTGGGAGTCCTTGAGGAGTTCAAATCTGAGTCAGGGACCTTTTACCTGTAACAAGAACACAGCTTCCTCGATAGTCTAGTCTGAAATAAAAGACAGGAGCACAGAGTTCACAAAATGTCAACATTTAGAGAGTTGATACATAGTCAAAGTTCAAATGACCCAGCTCTTATAGCTATACATATTGATTTAAAGCAACTTAATATAATTTTATTTTATTTTTTTTTTTATATATACACTTTCAAAGGTTCGTCAGGTGAGGTATGTAAACATTATCTAATGGAAACCCCTCTCAACATTTCCAACCAATAATTCACAGCAGACAGTTCATTTTCTCCGAGCAAGACGCAGAACTTCCCCATACCCGCAGCGCACGGGGACGCGGCCCCCGCGCAGTCACCAGCTGCCACCTCCCATCGCTGTTCTGTCAAGTTCACATTGGTTAGGCTCAAACATACAGTACCGGACAGGAGGACTTTTCAGATCAGTGTCTAAAATTCATACAGGGACAAACAGAGGGACAAGACTCTCCCAGGGAAGCAGACACAGGTGAAGGAAAAACGTTTGCTATCGGGGTGGAACTAATATTGAAACGCTGAGTATCTTAAAGAGAAAAAAAACGCACTGGGTTGGTGGGTTTATTTTATTTCATTACTCTTTTTTTTTTTCTTTTTTCTTTTTTTTTTCTTTTTCCACATAACTGTTCCAAGGGCGAAGGATGCTTGGGGTTCGTGGGAGCCCTGCAGGGCCAGGAGCCCAGTGCACAGCCCACCCTGCCCCCCGAAATTAGGGACCTGCCACCACAAACGCGGGGCTGACCCCGCTCACGGGCCGGGGCGCAGCCAGGGCGCACGCCCAGACAAACGGGGCTAAAAAACCAAAACACACTCACACAGAAAACAGCAAGAAAAAAATCCACGCACACTTGGGGGAAGAAAACGAACACGCAAACGACCTCAACACCCCTAGAAGGAGAATAAAAACTGCAGAATGGCAAGCAGGCAGGCAACGGCCTGACGGAGCTGGCTCGGCTGTCGGCAACTGCCCTGCTCTGCCCCGGCCATCCGGGGAGCTCCGGGGGTCGGGCAGCTGCCTCTCGCTCCTCGAGACCCCCGTCTTGCCCATCAGAGACCCCCACAACCCCCCCGAGCCCCCCGGTCATCCAAGCAGACATTATTACTACAAATCTTATTGCTTGCAGCGCCCCCCACCCCGGGGACCCCCGGCCCTCCCGGCCGGCCACGGCAGCTCGCCGCCTCCCCGTGGCCTCCGGCCGGCTCTGACATCATCAAAACTGAGATGAAGAGTTAATGCTTCAACGCTGATGCGACATAAAAACCAACCCAACACCGCCACCGTCCCGTTCTCCCCCCTCCCCAGCCCCGTTCCCCCCCATCCCACCCCCCGCCATAAGCCAGCCCTCTGGTCGCGGCAAGCTGCGCCCCCCGGCACGAGCTGGGAGACCCCCCCGCCAACCAACACCAGTCAGAACAAGAACCTGTGGAAAGCCCATGAAATAAATATATATAAAAAAACAACTATTTACAATATTAGATCTGTGAGAAGTGAGAGAAAAACGCTTTTTTTTTTTTTTTTTTCCTGCCCCAAAAGCTTAAAAAGTAGGTTAGCATCCTGCCGCCTAGCACAACACTATCTTACATGGCACCTACACATAATATATATTCACATTTCATTTTAAAATTAGGTACTCTTACAAACAGACTTAGAAAACATTGGCTAGCAATGCGGTCCGAGGGACCGGCGGGCGAGCCAACGCCGCGAAAGCCGCCCGGGTGCCTCTCGACGTCTCCGGCCGCCCCGAAGCTGCCAACATGCCCTGAATCAAAACCGCCAGCTGCCCCCGCGGCCCCCGGGGAGGGGTGGAAGTGCTCTCGAACCGGAGAGGGGTCCAGGGGGAGGGAGGGGACGAGGAGAGCCGGGGACCGTGATTTCCGCTAAGCCTAGGGGTGATCTTAATACAAACAAGAACTCCTGAGAACATCTTAGAACAGATGGATTCATTTCACAACCACCGAGCTAAAGGATGGGCTGAACGGACGCTACAACACACGGGGGACGCGCGCGATGCCGGGGAACCATACCCTCATGGTTTGCTCAAAAACCTACAGCTACAAGAAAAGCGTCAAGGGCATTCCCTGGGGGGGAGGGAACCGGCCTGCCCCTGCCTCGCTCGTGCACCCTCCGAAGGCAGGACCTGAGCTGCAGGACCCCCGGGACCGAGCTGGTGGCCTCGGGCGATGGGAAGGGCAGAGCCCCCCCACACAGCCTCCCACCACACGGCTTTCAGTCTCCTTGAAGCGGGACTGCAGCTGCCAGGCTGCAAGAACACGAGCTGGAGAGAGAAACTGTCCATTAGCAAGTCTTAAGAGCAGGGCAGCAGTAAATCTGTGTCCTTCTGAGACCGCCTCTCCGGTTCCCGGGGGGTTCCCGGGACCTGGCAGAGCTTTTGGAAACACCGGCGGAGGTTTGCGGAGGTGCCGGCGAGCGGCTGGGACGCGGGCCAGGCTGTGCTCTGCTCGCTGCACGCAGGCAGGAGGCTGAGCTGCTCCCCAGCACGGGGACGGGGTCACCTTGCTGTCCTGGCCCAAGGGGACGACCAGTGACGCAGCAGAGTTTGCTTGAAAGAGTCAGCTTCTGCTCGGTAGCGCCTGGGAGAACATGTGCTGCGAGCACGTAGCACGGCAGCGCTTGCAGAGCAACACGGCCACACGCTGCACCCGTGTGGAAATGAGCTCATTAGTGAGGAATACAAACACCGCACATCTGGGATATACAGCACGCACCCCACAGCAGAGAAACCGACCGCAGGGATGTCCCTGCTGGACGTCTGACAGGTGGAAGGAGCCGTCCTGGGCTCGAGCTGCTCTGGATGCAGCCCTCAAGCACCACGGACACATGCCTGGTAAATAAATTTTGACTCAGCACAGCAAACCTGGCCAGGCCAGCCCTTTCTGGAGGCCGCGTGAGAAGAGCTCCCAGCCACGTGAAGCGTGAAGACCCAGAGCTGCCAAGGACACGGTGAGGGAGAAGATGACCGAGCAAAGGAAAGAGGGGACCCGGCAGAAGAGGGACACCAAGGATGCCTGTGGAGATGCAGGGCTACAAAGATGCTGCTCCTGATCTACGGACGGAGGAGCTGGGATGGAAAAGAGTTTCAAGAACATGATCAGAAGCCAAAGGGGCAGCAGAGGTAACAGCACTTGGCTCCTCCTGAAATGAGGGAGCGAGTGGGGTGGCACGGAGAGGGAGCGCAGTGAGGCCGTGGGGCTGAGGAGGGCACTGCGGCGGTGCCCGCGGGCAGCTCTGCACCTGAGCAAGCCAGGACGCAGCGGCTGCCCGCGTGAAATAAGGCAATAAATCACGCTGCTCATTTCCTTCCATTCATTAAGATCGTCTGCAACTCCCCGTGCATCCATTTCATTGCGTAAAAGCTGCGCTGACTGGAAAGGCGCTGCTGTAAGGCAGGGGCCACGCCTCAGCAGCGCTGCTCACCGCGTGCCTCACCGCGGGACGGAGAGAAACCAGCAGGGCACGGCCTCAGCCACGGCCAGGGGCAACCGGCTGCAAGACGAAGGCTGTTGGGAAGAAAAGGAGCAGCAGTTCACGTCTGAGCACTGATGAAGAGAATGGAGCTCCCCAGGCAATGCCAGCCTGCCAGGTGGCCGCCTCGCACGCAGACCCGTTGATCTGTTAGGAAATTAAAGCATCGCTCCTTCCTGCCCCAAAATACAGCACTCACAGCAGCAGGTGCGAAGCGTGTTAAAAGCAAGGCTCACTGCCTGCAAGACCTGGAAGCTACAACTGGTGTCAGCACGAGAACGTGCACAGGAGGCAAAGAAGGGCTGGGGACGGCATCTCCTGAGGGCAGAGGAAGCAAGGAAGGCAGGCTGGCACGGAGCTGGAGTTTCCTCCGAGCAGGAAGCCTTAAGATGCTTTTCTAGAGCTGGGGAGCATCTGCGGTTTGCTAACCCAAGCGACTGCACCAACCCACAATTCAGAGAGCCTGTGATACAGCACCGGTGTGCCCACCTCAACCTGGGCTGGGGCATGGCCACAGTGCTGGCTGCAATAACCCAGCCACAGGCAATGGCTGCACATAACCCACCCCTTCCTCAAGTCAAAAGCTGTAATTTCGAAATTAAAAGCAAGAGCCAGCCTTGTGCTGCCTCAGCGGGTGCCGCGTGGCCCAGGCTGCTCCCAGTCCCCAGCATAACCAAGATGTGCAGCACACACACACAAATCACACACCTCTGTCTCCTCAGCAAGAGGTAAGAAATTCAGATTTACACCTCCTAGGCACAGCCCAGCTCCTGTTACAACTCAGTAGCATCTTCGCACAGATTTTGGGAGCGTTACCCTTCGAGTGGGAAAGCCTCAGCTTGCCGAGCCCTCCAACATCCCCAGGGACGGGCAGAGCTGCTGGGTCAAGGCCACCAGAGCTGGGATGAGCTGCTGGGGCTCCGACCACGATGCCTACGTGGTGCCCAGTGTGACCAAAGCCAGGCCAGCACCACCTCACTCTGACAGCTTCGTGGAGCTCTCATCCTAGCACGGCTCCTGCTCCCAGCAGCACGGACGATGGAAAGCAGGACGCCCGCATGTGCCAGTGGAAGGCAGTGAGAAATTAAATCCAGCACGCGAGGGAGGAAATTCCGAGGGAGAACGGGGGCTCAGGCACGCCAGAGCCGCGGGTCTGTGCAGCAGCTGCCCCAGCGGAGGAAGAAGAAGATGCGGATGCAGGCAGGGAAGCGAGAGGGAGAGAGAACCTGTGGGAAAGGTACGGAGCAGTCATCTGACCGCCAGCAGTGCCCTCCTGCCACACACCTCTCCTAAAACGCTTTTAACCCTTTTCTGATGGAATGTTTGACATACGTAATCCATGCAGTAAAAATTAAAGTAATAGATAGCTTTGTATTAATCTGTACAGGGACTGACAGGCTAGATTTAATCACTTCATCACTGTTCGGAGAGTTAACTTACTCTTTCATGATTCAAAGGAAAGGTAAAGGATTTTTTTTTTATATCAGCCATTTCATAGAAAGAGAAAAACGTGCAGCAGACTCATGTGTGCCAGCGCTGGGGGAAGGGAATGCCTGTAAGGGACCCGGGGTGCTCAGCAAAGGGCGTGCGCATCTCCAACGCCTCGCTCCGTCCTCTGTACTACATGGGTACCACGAAAGATTTGAAGACAATTAGCTGCTTTCCACAGGATTTGGGAGCAGTGTGAGACGTGAAAAGCAATGCCCCTTGAAGCAGTGCCACCACGGGCCTTGCTGCTCTCCGCACAGGAGGCTGACGATGGGATTCACGCAGAGACCTCGAGCAGCAGCAAGGTGCAGGCAAAGCCATCGAAACACAGCAGCCCCAGCTGCTGAGCACTGTGCATTGGGAACCAGCTTTCTCCAGAGGCCAAGCACCGAGCACGCTGTCAGAGACCACGAAACCAACCCGAGCGCAGCACGGTGCTGATGGGGAAGGATTTGTGCCCAGCAGCAGGGCACTGCGGGGCCGGCCCGTGCCAAAGCCAGCAGAAACAGATGGATACAGCCCAGCACGCCCCGTGTGCCCCAGGGACCGGGCAGCACCTCTGCCACCGCGCTGTGACCGGGATCTCCCTGCCCCACGGCTGTGCGGGGGGAGCGGGGCCGGGGGCCAGCAGCAGAGTCACTGGGGAATACTTGTCTGCAGGTAACAGGACGGGACACCAGCAGCTGCCACGAACGAACCGACGGCTGACAGGTTCACCTTTCTCTCCCTCACTGATGGAAAATGAGTTTTGGTTTTGCTTGAAATGCCACTAAGAAGACAGACAGAAGTAGGACGCTGAAGGAAAGGGAAATGTTTGCGTGCACCGAAAGGCTGCCGAAAGCTACTTCATGTGCACAAAGGTGGTTTTCTTTCTGCTACAGTACAAGTGCTTGTGCCTCAAGTATAAAACGCAAGCCTCCAAATCACACAGACGAGCTTCTTATTTTTATTTTTAAAGTGATAAATAAGGCACTGTACTTTTAACTAAAACTGCCTGGTTCCGAGGTCAAAAACCCAGGGAACGTTCAAACTGCAGAAACTTCCTTCTGAACAGCAGAGACAGACAGGCTGACCTCTTCTCTGTCCGAGACACATCTCCTGATGCCTAAAATCACGGGCGTTATCCTGTAACTGCGGATTTTTAAAGGCTTGCTACAGCTTATAAAAGCAGCTTTAGTTAATGCATGGTAAAGGGTTACTACTATACAACAGTTTTGTACATGGCTACCGGTTCTTCGCTATTTCGTGTCCAGGCGCGAGCGCTTGCTGTGCGAACAGTCAACTTTCGCCCGCAGCTTCCTCTTGCCCTGCGCCCCGCTGTTCTCCTGCATCTTCTTCATGGACCTCGTCAGGGTTTTCCCAGCGCCGGGCTTCTTGTTGGCCATCTTCTGTGACCGCGTCGAGGATTCCCCGAGGGGCTTCTGCCGCGGGGACTTGGCCAGCTCCTCGTGGCCGGGGGGCAGCACGGCCCGCCGGCTCGTGTTCTCCTTGCCCTTCCGCACGGGGAGCCGCACCTTCTCCAGCTGCCTTTTCGGGGCTCTCTTCTCTTTCAGAGACATTTTCTTGGCAAGCTTACTGCTCCTCTCCACGGCGGCTTGCTTTCGGGTGGCGGGGGCTTTGGCGCTGACCTCCGAATGTTTTATTTTACTGGCCTTCTTGGCCGGCAGCTTGTCCTTACCGGCGGAGCCGGAGCGCTCCTGGGTGCCCCCGCTCTCCTTCAGTGTCCTCTTCTTCCTGCTGAGCTGCGGGTCGGCCCGGGGCGAGGGCTCCTCCGGGCACCTGCCCTTCCCCTTCCTCCCCTTTCCCGCTCCGTCCATCGCCGGGGATCGAGCCGGGAAGGCGTCAGCTTTGATCTGCAGGGCCAGCTTGGGAGACATCAGCGGGTTGATGCACACGCTCTTGCGGCTGGGCTTGCTCTCCAGGGCCGGCTGCTCCCCGGGGACGTCGCTCCTCCGCTCGGCCCTTGCGGCGCGGTGCTGGGCCCGCAGCTTGCCCCGCAGGTTGGAGTATTTCCGCAGGATGCGGGTGCTGGCCTGCGTGGGCAGGCTGGGGGTGGGCGCCACGCTCCGGTCCTGGCTCGCCTCCTCGGGGCCGGCTTCCGAGGGAGGCGGCTGGCCGGCCCCGACGGCTTCTTCGGCCTCGGCTCTGTCCGCGTTCTCACGGATTTTGGCCCACAGCTTTTGGTTCTTCAGGTTGTTCCGGGCCGGGGTAGCGGCGGCGAATTTCTTGAGGTGTTTTTTCAAGCGTTCAGCCTGCAGCGAGCTGGGGTAGAGGCCGGAGGAGGAGTACTTCTGCATGGGGACCTTGATGGGGGGGATCTCCCCCGGGAGACGGGTGTTGAGTTTCTTCACGATCACCAGAGACCTGGTCTCCGTCGTCTCCAGGAACCACTGGCAGATGTCGGACAGCTTGAAGGCCTTCATAAACAGCATCTGGACAGGAGACAGCTTCTGAACTTCCAGCGACCCTCGACTTTTCCGTGTCCTCTTCTTGCTTTTCCAAATCTCCTTCAGCTTGTCGGCTTTGTTCTTCACCTTGGGGGTTGGCTGCACTTCTTTCTCCAGCTGAATCCAGCCCTTCTGAACTTTCATGTACTGGGCATTGAACTCGGCAATCAGCTCCTGGTTCTCCTCTTCGGCACACCACTCCATGAACTTTGGTTTGCTGTCAGCCAGGTCTGCGTCCTCCAGCGCCAGGGAGTCGTCATTCCCTGAACTACACTCGTCCCGCGGTTTGGGGATTGCTTGCATAGACTCCTTCCCTGGTGTGCTCTTTTTTGCAGTGTCGGTGGGTGCGGGCGTGTGTCTTAAGTTATAAAACTGCAGGGCTGACTTTTTGGGCTTCGCAGCCTTCGCTGGAAGATGCTTGCTTCCACTGGCCCTGCTGCTGGGACACGGAGGCGAGCTGGCCGCTGGCTCGTAGCTCTCCAGCTTTCCCGTGTCCATGGCGCTGTCAGAGCTCTCCTCCTCCTTTGCTCTGGTACCACCTGGCTTCACCTCTGCTTGCTCTGCATCGTCTGCAGGCACGCTGCTTTCTGCGGGGAGGAGGATGCTCGTCTTCTCAGCATCAGCCTGGACACACATCTCCAGCGTCTCGCCTGGTTGACTCTGGCCACCTTTAGCAGGGGGGTCGTCTTCAGAGGAATTTTCTCCCTCTGCCACAGTCTCTTTCGCTAAGATGCTCTTATAGGTCTGTCTGGTAATGACACCGCTCTCCTCACCTGGCTGCTGCTCAGTGATGCTCTCCGGAGCCTGGCCGGTGCTCGGCCCCTCGCTGGTTTTGAGCAGTGTGGTATGGAAGCAGTCGTTTGGGAAGTGCATGGATGCTGCCCCGTCCAGCTGCACTTCTCTCTTGAACCGCTTGGCGCTGGGACTCTTGGAGAGTTTGATCTGAAGGCAAGGAAGCTGCACGGAGCTGGAAGAGCCAGCGTCCTCAGCGCTGCCCTCGGCAGGTGACTGGGACTGCTGGCTTCGGAGACGCCGGTCGGATGCCACGAGCGTTCTCCTTCCTTTCTTTCGCTTCTTGTCTAGGCTGTCTTTGGAAGAGACAGAGTCTTTGTCTGCTGTTTCCAAGCCATCGGGTTCAGGCAGCATTTCCCCTTCAGCAGGCTCTTTTTCACCTGCCAGGCTGTTGTTCTGCACCGCCTCCCCTTCTGAGACCGCAGGGAGGGCTGTGCTGGCTGGCACAGCCTCCTCTTCCTCGAGGGAGCTGTCACCCAACACGCCCAGCAATTCAGCTTCTGGTTCAGCATCGACACTTTTGTTCACATCCACACACTGGAAGGCGGCAGGGAGCTCTGGGGGACAATCCCCGCCCTCGGTGGCAGGGGGCTGCTCGGGAGCCTGCAGGTCTGGAGAGGGCGGGGAGGGCTCTGTGGGACATACCCCGCAGGGCTCTGCTCCACCAGCGCCTGGAAGCTCAGCAGGGTCCCTCGGGCCAGCATCGGCCAGGGGTGCTGCGTCTGGAGCAGCAGAGGGCTGCAGGGGAGACCCCGGCTCTGGGCTGGCAGGGAGGTCTGGAATAGTTTGCACACCCGAGCCTGGGGAACCCTCCTCCCTGATGGCTGCTTCAGCAGCAGAAAGGGCAGCAAAGCTTGCAGCCTGCACGGCACCGCCGTCTTTGGAGCCGCTGTCCCCGGAGGAATCCACGCCAGCCTCCGGGGTGGCCGTGTCCCCGGCTCCTTCGCTGCGGGGGGAGCCTGGGGGCGGTGAGCCAGCCACGCTGTCCTCCTTCTGCGGGCTGGGAGGAGCGGAGAGGGAGAACAAGGGCACGGTCACGGCAGCTTCCCGCGAGCGCAGCACCCGCATGTCCCGTGGCTCCCGCTGGACACAGCCCAGGTCACCTCTCGCTTTTGTCTCTCTGCTGGCCGGCGCTCCTTTGGCCAGGAGCCTGAGCGAAACCCTTTTCTCCCCGTCCCGTCCCGTCCCCGACGACCCACCCCCTGAGAGCACCAGAGCCTGGCTTCGTGCTTACGAGCGCCTCTGTTCGCAGTGCCGGGCTGCCGCCCCGCTCCTCCGCCCGCGAGCTTTTCACCAGGGTGCGGACGGTCGGGAGCTCGCAGCACTCCCCGTTGAAGAAATACCCCCGCGTGCTCTTCCTCGCCGTCCTGCGCGACGACACCGAGCGCTGGCTCTCGAAGTGGCACTCGGTGATGGGCTGGCTGATGTAGACCACGTCGCACTGGTTGTCGTAGTCGTTGATCCTCAGCCCCGAGGCCTTTTTGCTCTTGCGGGAGGACCTGAGGGAGGCCGCCTTGGCGCGGGGGTGCCCGCCGGGGGCCCGGTGGGCGGCTGGCGCGGTGCCGGCGGGCAGCCAGCCCTCTTTGGATTTGTCGAGCGGGCCCTTGTCGGCCGGATGCAGGTGGCAGCCTGCCTTGCCCTTGGCCACGGCGTGCAGGTGGTTTTCTGGCTTTGGTCTCGCGTCTTGTTCTTTCGCGTCTAGGTCCTGGTGCAAAGATGCTTTCGAGCCGCACTGCAAAGTGTTCTCCTTGTCAGCTCGGCGAGGGGGGCTCACTGCGAAGCTGGGATCCCAGGGCTCTTCTGGCAAAGCTCTGAAAGAGCTCTTCTGGGAGCCCAGACAGCCGTCTAAGCTGTCCTCGCTGCCATTCACATTCGCCACTTTGACAGAGATATAGCCTTCCACTAGGGCCTTACCTGCCATCTGCTCTTTATTGTCCTCGCACTTTCTGACACCGGCTTCTTGCTCGTGTCCAGCAACCTGCCCTTCCAGGCTCTTTGCAGCGTGATGAAATTCAAGGAGGAAGAGTTCAACGTGCTGAGGTATCCTTGGGTGGAGCTGTCCTTTGGGCTGGCAGAACAAAGCCGAGCAACGGGAGGGTCAGAGAAGTCTCTTCTCAAAGCAGGGCTGGGGCTCTCCGCTCTGTCCGTGGATTTCAGCTCTGTGGGCTGCTTCGGGGCTTGTCCTGCGACATGCAGGGAGCCATCAGACCCCGAGTGTCCCGGCTCTGAGGAAGAAGGGGGCCTTGATTCAGTACAAGCAGCACCCTTATCCTGATTTTCAGTGCTTCGCTGGCTACAACCAGAGCCACAAGTGGAGGCCTCCATGCTTTCGGATTCGGACGACTGCTGGCCTTCAGAGTCCGGTTGTACTTCAGTGTATATGTCGTTTAGCACGCGAATGAATTGCTTCTGGTGGTGTGTACACAGTCTGACCATAAACTTTTCCAGTGGAGACTTCGGCTGATTGTTAGAGTCTATTGCTATTGTCTCTGCTGCATCCTCACTAGAGAGACAAAGAGAGAAGCAATCAGTAACACGTCCCCAGGAACAGAAGTTCATGCTGCAAAACCAGAGCAAGCCTTCTCCTCCCACCCAGGCGTACCACGCACCTGATCTCCAGGTGAGATCAAGCACCCTGTTGTCAGGAGGTTTGCAGCTACCCCTTTGGTTCCCAGCACACACACACAGACGAACGCACACTGCTGGCAGGACACAAACTGCACTTCCATTCGTCTCCCACTGCTACGAGACCTGTAACTGCACTTCTGCCGAGGGCTCCCTAGGCAGCACTAGTGTGTAGGCGCCATGTGACACGCTCCGAGCAGACCTGAACTTCCTGGTGAGGATCAGATTTGCAGCATGCACAGGCCCAACACTTCTGGGACACGCTGGAACAACTGCAGGCGTCTGTACGCTCCATCTGCGCATCGAGGATCTGTGGGAGCAGCGCAGCAGCCCAGCTGGGCAGCCAGACACCTTGAGCTGCTGTTACATCTGCAAATTCTGCTTCCTTCTAGGCAGCAGAAGGAAGAGTCTATGGCAAACTGAGCAGACCTGACCCTCCTCTGTAATCAGAGAAGAAAATTTGGAGAGTTCCCAGGCTGCAGGACATGCATGCAGCAATGCACCTTCCCATGCTGCAGTGCCTTGTAATTTGCACCGACCTTTGCTTTGCTGCCATTTAATGAACTCGCTCTGCAGCTGAGGGTCTGACTGGCAGCTTGCAGTGGTCACCCAGAAAGTGCAGCCCTACAGCACTGCTGCATACAGTATCGCTGCCTCTTGCTACCTCTTTAAAAAGATGATTATCATTTACCTGCTTGGCACAGGCAATTAGGACTTCTTGGTGGAGAGGTTAAGGGATAATTACCCAGTGTTTGCACAAACTTATTAGGAGTGCAGTGCCAGGCTCTGCTACCCAAACCGTGCCCATTCCCAGCAGCAGCACAGGCAGTTCCCTCCCCATCCCTGCGGGACCTCTGCCAGCTGGATTTGGGACTAACAGCTGTACTTTGCACCTCGCTGCCCTCCGGGGAGCGAAGCAGTTCCCCCTGCTCCCCTCACCGGGATGACTCATGGCTCCCACGCACGGGAAGGGAGGCTGAGGAGGCTCATTGACCCCTGCTGGTGAATCACCCCTGCCAGCTACTGTGTGGCATTTCAAGGAGGATTTTGGCGAGGTGCTGCAGCTCCCGCGGACGACTGGCGGGCTGCACATCTCGCCCAGCACTGGCAGCCAAAAATCCAGCGGGAGGTGGGCAGCCGTGTCGGCTGCCATCCCTGCTGGAGACCGGCTGAGGCTGACAACAGAGAGCGAGGAGAGAAGGCCAGGGACGTGGGATGGCCGTGCTAGGTGGCAGCCTCTGTGCTGGAACCGGCCTCTGAGAGGTCTTCCCCTGCTGCTTGCTCCATGCTGGCTCGCTGCTGGCTGGGGACTGGCACTGCTTTGGAGGCACCTCCAGCAACCTGGGGGCTGCTCCCAAACTCAGCAAAGGCCAGGAGATGGCTCTGTGGATGGCTCTGGGCATGGCCACTTGGCCTCCTCTTCACCCAGAAATGCCAGGCTGTCGCCAACAACCTGCTCCGAGCATCTGCTAGCCAGCCCTGCGCTTTCCAGTCTGCCCAAATTCAAGCTTTACCCTTCAGGCCTCTTGGGCAGGGTTTTCCCCAAACTGCCCAGAAAGGCCAAGTAAATTACGCTTGGCGAATGTGCTCCAGCACCTCCTGAACGTGGTGCTGGGTCAGCAACAAGCCAGCTCCCTTCACTGCTGCAAGCTGGCAAGCGTGCCCGCTGGAGCCGCCACAACTGCTCCTGCCTGGCGCTGCCAGCTCGCAACGCCCAGGGTGAATTTAAAATAAAAACACCCAGGTACACCCCGGCCCCTCTCCAGAGCCCTGCATGGGAAGGGTTGTGCCAGAGAGGATCCCTGCACAGCCCAGCTCCTCCCCTCGCCCTGCGGGATAACAATGGAGATAAAACTTTCCCCGCGCCACCAGGAAGGCGAAGAGGAAGGGCTCGGAGGCAGGTCGCCACTCTGCTCCTTCCCCCCGCGGGTGCATGGCGGCAGGTTTCCCCTTACCTGCCCCAAATCCCAGCTCCGGGGAGTGGCAGCCATCTTCCCCGCCAGCCTGCATTTATAGCCGCAGCCGCCGAGGTGCGGCCCTGCCCGGCCCCCCCGCCGCCTCACAGGGATGCCGGAGGACGGGGAAGTGGTTGCTGTCTGTACATCGAGTCCCTTCTCCCAGCAGAGAAGGCGACAAGGTGTGTGGGGCTGGGGGAGACCCGCATCCCACTCACACCATGGCGGGGACCTGCGCTCCCTGCTCCCAGGGCCTCAGCCTGCATTGCCCCCTTGCTCTCACCGCCACCCTATTGCCCTGCCGTGCTCCAAGGAGTTAATCTGAGAGACACGCAGCTTGTTAAGCTGTAAATTTGAAAAACAGAGATAAATATCTTTCCTGCTTGATAAAGGAGGTGCCTCCATTAAGACTCAATGCCCTTTGTCCTTAGAAGACCCATCTTGCCCTCAGCGACACCGTTCGCCAGGTCTGCAGTCTCGTTACCTGCAGGGCTTTCTGTTTTGTCTCACTGGGCCCGAATGCGGACCGGGATCCCTCACCCTGAGCTCATCTGCTCCCTTCTCAGCGTATCCCTACATGGCTGCCTTGTTTTTTGGGTTATCAGAGGTGCAGCAAGCACAGCCCTGAGGTGCCTCCCCAGGGAACCATGCCAGGCCCCAACCAGCCCCTCACTCCTGCTGACAGAGGCACAGAGGGAACCGAAGACCAACAGGGAAACACAGAGGATGGGAAATGAAGATGTGCTTTGAAAGTGGGAGAAAAATTGCACCCCAATCTGCAGCTTTTCCCACAGAGCCTGCGAGGGGGCAGGCCTTGCCCTTTGCAGCCACCGGCCTCACACGCTGCCTACACCGGGCTGTCGTGAGGGGAGCTCCCACTCGAGCTGCACCACACCGGCCTGATTTGGCCTAGCTGCCAGGTCTCCCATCACCAGCAGGACACACCTCGGTGTCCCAAGGGCATCCCAGCACCCGAGCCACCCCCCAGACCCATCTTTCCCAGGGCTGCCCCGCTCCCTGCTCCTTCCCCGCCTGTCACGGAGGTGTCAGAGGAATCAAGGGGCAGGAGCTGTCACAGAGACACACGGGGCTGTTGCTACGCGACCGTCGCGGTGCAGCAATTAACGCTCGGAAAACGTGCTGTGCTCTGAAGCTATTTGCATAGCTGCGTGCTGCAGTACGTCTGTTTGCATTGTGCCGCCTCTGTGTAGCGGAGCTGCAAGCCAGCCCTCCCCCAGCCCCTGCTGGGGGGCACCCAGGGCTCCCCACAAAGGCTGCGGGTGACGGGGCCCCGGGTTTGCCTGCCGTGACACCTGCAGCACACGCAGGTATGGGATTTGCAGCCCTGGAGGACGGGGGGAACACCGAGACATCTGGATTTCAGCCTGTGCTGCCCAACGGGTCTGCCCCCCTTATGGGGCCAGCTCCTGCTGCGCTCCCGACCCACTCATGGGGTTACCTCACCTCCCCTCTCCCTTTTAAAGCCCTGCGGGTGCCCTTGCCTGTGATTCCAGAGTGTATTTTCAGGGGGAGGAAGGAGAGGAAGAGGGAGAAAGAGAGGGAGAAAGAAAGCAGCTGTTTCACACCAACCTACCTGGAACGCCGGTCTCCGAAAACCTGTCAA